TTACACCATTAGAGCTGACTAAGTCCTTCACGTCATAGTAGGTTATTATATTACAAGGATTAATTTAACCCAAAGTATGTTCTCAAATGGAGCATGCTCTTCCGTATGTGCAAAACAATCTCATCCAAAAGCACATTTCGCATTTCAGGTCAACTCACTGCTAAACCATAAGCATCAGGAACACAAGACCTGATGGGCCATAAACCTCTCCCCCACCTAACTCTCTGACAACGATGCCTTAACTATAGAATTCCCTTCCTCTGGATAACTGCCAAAGTTTGAGCATCTTTTGGAAATGATATGGAGCCTTCTATATTTGGATTATGAATGAATGACTCAGTCTATTTCTTGAACCATGGTCATTTCACATGTGTTTATTATTAAATTTGCTCCTTCCTATTTCTGCATTAATTTTAGAGATTTGTGATATATTAAGTGGTTTTAATACAGGAAATAAAAAATAAATAATTCACTTTTTTAAAGTCTGGACAAAAACTCTTATTTAAAGAGATTGGGGGTTTTTCCCCACAACCTGGGACCTTCTGCCTGCACATTCGGTGCTCAGCCCCTGTGCAACATCTCTTCTCTGAGGTCCTTCTCTAAAAATGCACACCACAATTAAAAGAGGCAGAGTGAAGTTTGGTGTGGTTGATGCCCTTTCCTCTGACTGCTTTTTATTTACATTTTTAATAAATTTGGTCACCTACCCCAAGTTTTCTTTAGGCAATGAAAAGAAACAAATGAACGCCTTCCTGAGATTCTTCTTCTGTCCGTTCAAGGATAACGTGCACTTTATTTTCTCCCTCCTCCACTTTTCCTGAGCCCCTTTTGACAGTGGCACTGATCTTTTCTGAAGCTAGTCATTCAATCAGCCTTAATTCCAGTTTATAGAGCCCAGCCTCAAGTCCTTTCTTAGGTGTTGGCGTGAGATAATGGTCCAATAAATAAGATGGAGCAAGAGCTGTCACCTTCTCTTCTCTTTCCACTGAAGGCTCTTGATGCTCCCCATAGAACATGGGAGGGTGAAAGCCCAGCCTGTTTAGCTCGGGGGCAAAACACACCCCTACACAAGCAGAGAGAGAATCTAATTTTTTCAATGAAACTCAGTGCCAGTCAAGCTCTTGCGGAGTTGTACTTTGGGGACATCAAAAATGTACGGATAGCAGAAACCTTAGCAGAGACAGGCAAGTTTAGCATGTATGAGATTATGAAACAGAACCAAATTATGAAATATATAAGGGCTGTAGCTCAGTGGTAGAGCATCTGCTTTGCATGTTGTGCCCAGGTACAACCTCCAGCCTCTCCAGGTAGGGCTGGGAGGGACTCTTGTCTGAAAGTCTGGAAAGCCAGTACCAGGCATTTTAGACAATACTGAGCAAGATCCGCCAGTGGTCTCTGACTCAGCATAATGCAGCTTCCTGGGTGGGTGGGTCTACACAGTGAAATTTAAGACTTTAAAGACTTAACATCACATTCCTAACCACCTTTGTTCAGAAGTAGGTCCAATTCAATTCACTTGTTCTCACTCAACCCCACTGGGCTGAGGATTTCAGCCTTAATGGCTGTGGTGCAATTCATAATCTGCTACCATCATCATCATCATATCTTTACACTACTTGATTGTAAACAAACAAACAAACCTCAAAGTGGTGTGCAAAGAGAATAAAACTGTAAAATTATCAGGAAAAACAATAAAAATGCTCTTTCAAACATGCAGAAGATAAAATCAGCAATAAACTAAAAAGAGATTGAAGAGTACACCAACATGCTACATGTCTGGAAAGGCTTGTCTAAACATAAATGTTGTTTATATCACCTGCTCTTCACCCTAAGATTTCAGGGTGGGTTACAGCATCAAAATACAATGTTAAAAGCAGTTTAAAATGACTTACAACCATAAAAATAAGGCGGTTCCTGAAAATACAGTCGTATCTCAGGTTACAGACACTTCAGGTTGTGTTTTTTTGGGTTACTGACCCACCGAAACACAGAACAGGTTACTTCCAGGTTTGGGGGGTTGTGCATGCACAGAAGTGCTAAATCATGCTTTGCACATGTGCAGAAGCGCCGAATTGCAACCCATGCATGCGCATACGCGCTGCTGTGAGTTGCGAATGTTGCAGGTTGTGAAAAGAAGACACTGGACACATTATATAAGGTTAAGTGGGCATAAAAAAGGCCACAACTTTATTGATTACAGAATTGAAGGTATTGGCCTTGGGCATTGGCTCCTATCGACTACCCGGTAAGCAGACCGGGAAGGGTTAACCACAAACCGTGGGAGTCCTGTTGAAGTACGCCAACTAGGATCCCACGGGTGTCACCGCTCTGGGGCGTGCCGGAGGCCCTTACCTCCCTAGGTTTCGGACAAGGCAACGCCCCCCGGAGTCCTCTACCGGACTACCCTTTACATGGGGGAAGGTGATGGCGCTTCCTTCCCCCCCATTCATTTACATAACAATAAACCCCTGCCAATGCCTAACCGCCAAATACCGCAAAGTTGTGACGATTGCTACGAGGTAGGCGAAAAAACCAAAAGGCCGACAGTGCGCCAAATTGGAAAAATTCCTACCAGGCCCCTTACGGCGACCAACCGGAGTCCATAGCAAGGTCAGAGCTAGCTAAGCCTAAAGGGTGGGTGGGATGGGAAAATATCCGCTCAGCTGGCGAGGGGAAAGAGGGCGGTCAACGGGCGTGCCTGGCCTTAAGTAGCCAAGGCCACGCCTCCCCGGGCCGCCGATTGGCGGACCGGGTTGCAGGCACGCCTGGGGATTCCCTGGGTCTCACGGGGGCAAAAGGTCCGCCCCCCGCGTGTGGGAGGGGGTCGCCCGCAACCCCCTCTCCTCCGAAGTCGGAAATGGCTTTGCGAAAGTGCATCCCGCAAGGTTCATGTTCGCAAACCAAGTGTCCACTGTATACACCTCAAGTGTCAAAAGCCAGGGTAAGGAGGTATGTCTTCAGCATTCTCCAGATGTTGTACAATGAAGGTGCCAGGTGCACTTCTGTGGGGAGGGAGTTGCACAGCTCAGGGACCACCACCATAGCGGTCAACTTTCAGATTTGAAAATAAGGGATCAGCAGCCTTGAAAATAAGGGATCAGCAGCCTCACCTGTCCTGGGGACAGTCTACAGGATATCTAACAATCTGGGATAGCAGCGGGAAGCAGTGGGAAACGGCGTTGGAATAAGGGAATTTCCCGCAAAAAAAGGGAAGGTTGACAGCTGTGACCACCACAGAGAAGGGCCATCACCACTACCACCACCACAAGCATCTGAGGGCTCCCTCTGCCGACCTCAGTTCCCAAGAGGGTTTGTAGGGAAGGAGGAGGTCTGTCAGTTATATGGCACCTGAGTCATTTAGGGCTACTAGCCCACCTGTGAAACTAGTCCCAAAACGTGTGATTCAGTTGGGCTCTATATTTTCATGACCCTCACAAGTGCGTGTGCACACAAACATGCCCACACACACAATTCCAGCTATAAATCTCAGTTGGACATTTTGAAGTTTAGCTGCTGCATTCTGAACCAATCACAATTCTTGAATGCTATTCAAAGGAAGACCTGCCACAGTACTCTAATCTTGCGGTTCCAAGGAAGTGAATGCAAAAGTCAGGAAAGCAGAACATTTGAAAACAAAGTGAAAAGAAGAAGAAGAAGAAGAAGAAGAAGAAGAAGAAGAAGAAGAAGAAGAAACTTTCCTCAAAACATTCAAGGGAAAGAAGGTGCTGAGGCATCAAATCTCCACTTTCCAGGAAAGAGTTAAGCGGGAGAAATAAAATCAGATATGTGTAGCCTCCAGACGTCCATTAAAGTGCAGAATGCTGTTTTCTATCACAGATTATATGCCAGATGTTCAAACTATCTCTAATCATTGCAGATGTAATGGAGTAGAATGTTGCAGTTTGTGAGTTTACTGGCATTAATTCTGTATACCGCACAAGGGAGAAAAGATTTTAAATATATAATTATACCTCATTAATACTCAGGTTTTATTTCCTTTCAATGGAACAGGACTTATTACAGCAACCATTTACCGCATGTTTTTTTTCTCTCGCTCTAGCAGTTGGGCCCCTGCATAATTCTGGGTGCTTTTGACTTAGAAAAAGCTTACCGATCGACCTATATGGGGGAGGGGGAGGTAGCATGGCATATAATTCCTGCACTATCCTTAAAAACACATGCACACACTTTTTATAGACATGAATACATTATATGCAGCGCAAAAGAATACAGAACAAAATAAAATATATCTGGTTTTCCCGATTTCTGCCACCACACACATCTTTTTGTTGATGATCTTGAAAAGAACTTGGGTCTTATTTCCTTGGATTCAGGGATAAAGCAAGAATGCAACATACATGCAAACATGAGACCAAAGATGGATTATTCAATAGCTTATGGCATCACAAAGAAGGGGTACCCCCATGAGTGTTTTTTGAAAATATATTAAAAAGAATAAACTCACACTTCATCCCCCCATTCCCCAGCGTTCATCCCTCTATCTGGGCCCCTTTACACTCACTTCTTCCACGTATAACAGCTTTCTCTCTTATCCCCTTCCTTTCTATTCTCAGTTGTCGTTGCCACATAATAAGAGAACTTGATTCCTCCATTTCCTCCCTCCGTTTCCAGGCCCAGCTCAAAGCCCTATCCTGATTCTTTAAAGCACTAAACAGCTTGGGAAAGACCCCTCTCCCCACGAAGCACCGAGGGTAATCCCAGCTCTCTTCTCCCCACAAGATCAGGAACTTATTAAGGAGCAATTTATCACTACTTCCCCAACCACACGGAACAGGAAGGAACTGAAGGAGAAAGCAGAAGGCTTTTAAAGAGTGGTGTAGGGGATCTTTTCCAAACACGATTGACTCGTGAGGAAATAGCAGAAAGATCTTGGCTATGGTGAAGAGTACTGCATAATAACTGATCAATACACCACCACGTGGCGTTGGAAGGGACCACAAGGATCATCTAGTCCAACTTCCTGCAATGCGGGGATATTTTGCCCAGTGTGGGGCTCAAACCCATGTCCCTGAGATTAAGAGTCTTATGCTTTACCGACTGAGCTATCCCAGCAGCCAGTTTGGAGTTAGATGTCAGGGAGGAAAACTGCTGAGACTGGACAGTTGAAGGAACTGGGCTGGAAAAGTGGTTCTGGAAGTGTTTCCTCCCATCTAGGCCCAAACCCTGAAACACAACCCCTCTCTGTTTATTTACCTTTCATATCATATACTATTTCTGCTCCATTCATCGTCAGTAAATTATTATTATCACACTTCCCTCTAGGAAAACCCGTGGTTTAACGCTGATTTGGAACAAACGACCACCAGGTTTGTCACAGATCACCATTTGTTCCGATTTAGTGCTAAAGAGCAGGTTTTCTGGGGGAAAGTGGTGGGACAAAGGCAAAACTGCTTGAGCCTGTGCCTAGACAGCAAAAGACAAGCAGAAAATAACTTGGATCTGTGCTTTCTAAGCAGTGGACAAGCCTTTCTTCCCCAACTTCCCTCCTATTGTTGTTCCTCCTCTCCATTCTCTGCCACCAATTTACACTTCCTTTTCTTGGCATGAAAAGGGGGTGAGGAGATGGGAGGTGCTTATGTCAGTTGGAACTGACCATATCAAACTAAACATTTGATATTCTTATTATTATTATTTATGTCAAGGAGATCTGGCTGTCTGCCTGCCCACCTACCCACCTCAAAGGTTATTACAAAAGAAGCTCCAGGTATGAAGAATCGAGATTCTGATTAATTCAGAAAAATAGATATGTGTGGTGCAGGCAACACACTTTTTTTTTACAGCTGATCTTTTAAACATGAGTTTGGATGTGCATTGTTTGCCTGATTAAGAAGAAAAATGGGCAATTTGCTTTATGCGGATGTGCAAACAGGCATTGTGCTCAGAGACGGGGGAAGGGCAATCAAAAGGGCAGGCAAAGTAACTTTTTCTTCCTTCTTAATCCATAATGAATTAAAGCCCCAAACCTGCATTTTTAAAAACCAGCACCCTCCCACCTCTCTGTGATCCAAATGGATCACCTTTGGCAACCCAGTCATAGGAAAGGTGTGCATTCCTCTTCATCCAGCAAGTCCTTTTCGGCTTGTCATTTCCCTTGCTGCGAAAGCGGAAAGTCATCAGAGATTTGCATTTGATAGCTTTTGATTTTTTTTCTCTCTCTCTCTTTAAAATGAAATAAGTGAACAGCAATTCCCAAAGTGAAGATTTCCTCCCTGGGGGGATTATTCATAACTATATCTCTTTCCATATCATTTTATTACTTAATGATTTAATGAATATTCAAGGGATGCTGCTCCGCTTAGAGTTGCACCACCATCCCATAGACTATCTTTATAGCACCTTTCACGCCATGCATCAAAAGGTGCTTTAGCTCATAAAACTAATCAACAGCTGAGACACCACCGGAGCTTATAGACCAAACACTAAATTCATTAAGCAGTAAAAGTTTAATACAAAAAGTATGTTTTCTACCTGGATTTCAATGCCGCATCATGCATTAAGGTGGAATAGAATCAAAATGTGTTAGCTGTGTCAACTTTTAAATGCTTCCCCAGCAAAGCGAGAGGCAAGCTCAGAAGGGCGAACAGCTTCCTTTAGAAGCAGCTTCACAAAACAAACAGCTGCACAAAGGATGGACAAATCTGTAAGTCACTTTCACAAGCATAAGAACATAAAGAGAGCATTGCTGCATCAGGCTAGTGGCCCGTCTGGTCCAGCCTCCTGTTCTCACAGAGGTCAACCAGATGCTCCAATAGGAAACCCCCAAGCTGAGCCCAAGAGCCCTCTCCCCTCCGGTGGTTTCCAGCAACTGGTCTTCAGAAGCATTCCTGCCTTCAGCCATGGAAGCAAAGCATAGCCATCCTGGCCTCCTCCTATGTGAATTTTTTTTTAAACCATAATTTTGCTCTATTCCTACATTGAACTGTGGATAGTTTTTCTTTTTAACTAAATAAACAAAATCGTTTGTCAATGCATATTTCAATCAATAGTTTAATCTCCACATTCTTTCAGAATATGTAGCTGGAAACCCTGTTTTGACACATTTTAATAAAGGGGGAGGGATGCGGGTGGCGCTGTGGGTTAAAGCACAGAGCCTAGGACTTGCTGATCAGAAGGTCGGCGGTTCGGATCCCCGTGACAGGGGTGAGCTCCCGTTGCTCAGTTCCTGCTCCTGCCAACCTAGCAGTTCGAAAGCACATCAAAGTGCAAGTAGATAAATAGGTACTGCTCCGGCGGGAAGGTGAACGGCGTTTACACGCGATGCTCTGGTTTGCCAGAAGCGGCTTAGTCATGCTGGCCACATGACCCGGAAGCTGTACGCCGGCTCCCTTGGCCAATAAAGCGAGATGAGCGCCACAACTCCAGAGTCAGTCACGACTGGACCTAATGGTCAGGGGTCCCTTTACCTTTAATAAAGGGGGAAACCTCTGGCTAAATGTCATTCTCCAAAGCCTCTTCTCTCTTTGTGCCTCTCTCCCAGCCACACCATCCTTGAGTGGTTTTGCCTGGCTGGAATGCGTTGGTGAACTGTGATCATGTAGAGATAAGCGTGTGAATCAAAATCTCTGATTTCGGCATGGCTGGGATGTGCTTTCTTTTCACCTCTTGTGCCAAGGCCAGAGTTACTCTGCCCACAATTTCATCTGGTCCTGCTTGCAGCTGCCACACCCCAGAGGGTTGACTGAAAAAGATTGCACACCCCTGATTTAAATTACTCCAGTATAACCTGCTGTTCTCTTTAAAAACCTTGACTTCTTTCCACAGTGACCATTGTGAGAAGGATGCCATACTAGAAGAGTCATTGGCCCAATCCAGCAGGCTCTTCTTATGTACCGATTTGTTTTTCCTGCCTCTTTTGTTAAGGCAAGGACATTTTTGGTGACATTTCAGAATTGGGGATGGTAGAGATGGGTGCTGAGATAGTCATTAATGTAATAACTTGCTGTTGAAATGGAATACTCAGGATGAAACGGTGAAATCAGCAATGATTAAATGGGCACAGGATGTTGGACATAACATAATGATGGCTGACTGGGAACAGTTATGGACCACAGGTATGAAATTTACAGCATGTAATGCTCTAAGAGAAAACTTAATGAAAATGATTTATAGGTGGTACATGACACCAGTCAAGCTTGCAAAAATCTACCATTTGCCCGATAATAAATGTTGGAAATGTAACGAGACTGAAGGCACATTCTTTCACCTTTGGTGGACATGCCCAAGGATTAAGGCTTTCTGGGAGATGATTTATAATGAAATGAAAAAGGTATTCAAATATTCCTTCCTGAAGAAACCAGAGGCCTTTCTCCTGGGCATGGTCGGCCAATTGGTGTCAAAGAAGGATAGAACTTTCTTTATGTATGCAACAACAGCAGCAAGGATACTCATCGCAAAATATTGGAAGACACAAGATTTACCCACCCGGGAAGAATGGCAGATGAAGTTAATGGACTATATGGAATTGGCGGAAATGACTGGCAGAATCCGAGACCAGGGAGAAGAGTTGGTGGAAGAAGATTGGAAAAAATTTAAAGAGTATTTACAGAAATACTGTAAAATCAATGAATGTTAGAAAAATGTTGGGATGAAGTTACATGGCTTTAGCAGAAATGTTATAAAGAATTAAGTACAAATAGTTTAATAGAGTATTAAAGGAAAAAATAAGGTTAGAATGAGTTAAGATAATTATAGGATAGAAAACAGAGGAAGATGGAAAGGAATTGCTGAAATAATTAACAGAAGTGGAAAACAAAAAGGGAGGTGTGAGGAGGTCGCGGAAATAAGTGAATGAATGATGGGATAATGAAATTGTTTGATTTATTTTATTGTTTTTGTTTTGTTTGTTAGTTTAATGTATTGTATTGTATTGTTTTTTTTAGTGTTTAAATTTTTTGGAAAAGTAATAAATATTATTAAATAAAAAAAGAGATAGTCATTAATGTTATCAGAAGGCTGAGGAGCCTGTAGGTCCCTTTGCTCTTGTGGCAGCAACCTCACCTCGTTTCCTAAAGACTCTCCTCCCTGGAAGAGAGGGGAGTGGTTGTGGGCGGGAGCCCGAGCACCGCCCCAGCAGGGGGCATTAGCCCCCTGCCTCCTCCTCTCACCTGGCTGGCGCCCACGCCCCCTTGGCAGGCATCCAACCAGGTGCCTTCGAGGGGGCGTGTTCAGCAGCCTTTTGCGGCGGCGCCAGCCTCTCCTCGGCCTCATTCTTCTCCGTCCTCTCGTCGTGAGTCACCCACCCTCCACTCCCTTTTAGCTCAGGGTCTTTGTTCTTTGGCCTTGCTATGGACCTTAGGTTGGTCGCCCTGGTTGTCTAGGGGGCCTGGTAGGAATTTTTCCATTTGGCATTAGGCTTTTTGGTTTTTCGCCTACCTCGTAGCAATCGTCACAACTTTTTGTGGTATTGGTGGGTAGGTTAGGCATTGGAATAATGTGTTGTGGTGTGTCGAAGGGCTGGGTGTGGCCATCGCCTATGCCTTCAATTTTTGGGTATTCCGTTAAAGGAATCTGGCGGTCGTGTACTCTGTCCGATGCCTGCTTGGCGGGAGGCCATGGCACGACCCCCGGTGACATCAGGGGAGAGCCTATAGTTGGATTAGCATCAACAGGCTCCACCTACTGGTGAATAAACCCCCTTGTTTTAGACATCCAATGCCTAAGCCAATACCTTTTCACTGCTGTAATCAATAAAGCTGTGGCCTTTCCTTGCCCATTAACCTTATATCACGTGTCCTTGTGTATTTATTTCACATTGCGGGGGTCGGGTCCTCGAACCACAAAATATTCTTCCATGGGACAAGCTTGGGAGGTATAGTGGGTTTATTTCAAGAGTTATTATTTATTTGTTTTAAAATGCAGGATGGAAAAATAAATCTGCCTACTCCTGATTCATGTCACTCTAACCTGTTTTCACCCACATTTTCTATGGGCATTCCAGGAAGCCTACTGGAAAGTGATGCAAAAATGTTTTTAAAAATCAGAGAAAGGACACCTTTCTATCTCAACCACCTCATAACATTAAGGCAAGCAGCCAAGTCGCAATTCCCAATATTTAACTGAAAATTTGCCTCCTCTCCCCACTCTAGTTTCCCCAGATCCATGTTACTGTCAATGTTTCATTGTAAATACAAATAACAATCATTTGATTTTATACTGCCACACACACACACACACACACACACACACACTAAAAATATCAACTTTTGTGGCTAAGTGTCTGTAATGTGCTATGCTGAGATAAGAGAAGACATGTATGTATCTGGTGAATTTTTAAGGGGAAAGCCCTATGACTCTGGCACCTTTTGAAAGAATGCCTTGTGGATCTCTACAAATAAAAGGGTGTGTTTTTGCTTTCCAGTTTAGTCTTTCAGAAGCAAATTGGGGGGGGGGGGAGCAAGACAGCAGGGTGGGAGGAGGTCTGACCGTATCAGCAACAGTATGATCGACTGCTCTTCTGGCTGACATTTTCATTATCCAAAAAATTATGTTCCTATTTCTGTCTGTAATAATGACCATCCATAGCAAAAGCATGGAGGCTGTTAATGGGCAGGAATAGGGTTAAAAAAAACACAACCCACTTTAATTAATCCAGAATTGAAGCATTTCCTCCACACATGTTGAGCAGCCAAGTATTTCACAGCAGCTTTTGGCACCTGAGCACAGGTAGAGTAATTATGCACAGTTTCCAGTGATTAAAAGGTTGTAAAGTAATTTTAGATACATCTTTAAAATTATTTGTCTTATAAATGAGGAAAGAATGAATAAGAAGTGCATCAAAAGCTCCGCGGTTCAGGAATGATTTTCCCCTCTTTTTTTGCTCAAAGGCTCCTAAGGGGACTCTGCTGCCAGCAATTAGCCACATACTGGAGCAATTGTTCCATGATGTCCGTCTACTTGTAACCGGCATCTGTAACGTTTCTGATAAAAGACCTAACCTAGAGCATTAGCAAGCCTGTTTGCATGGTCTTTGCCCATACCGTGTTATTAGCACTGTTCCAAAGTTTCAAATAATCATGCAGCTAAGAGTTCTGACATGGGCAAGGTTCTTTATTTGTGGCGTTTATCATACAGGCTTCTATTCAACTATGTCCTATTCAGAGCAGACCCATCAGGAATACTGGACTTAGGATGGAATCATGGAATTGTAGTACCTCCAGGGTCATCTAGTTCAACCCCTTGTAGTCACAGCTAAAGTTTATTATTATTATTATTATTATTATTATTATTATTATTATACTGCCCTTCATCATAATATCTTAGGGGTCTACTCTGAGTGACTGGTGTTGGATACAACTCTCTATTTACCTGCAAAATCACCTTACCCACTTGAACATCTGGATCTCCAGAACTGGCACTGTTACAGGTGGCCCAAAATGTTCCTTCCCTATTTGTAAGAATTCAATCTTTTAGTGCTGTGGCACCTAAACTTTGGAACTGCCTGCCTGCCTGCTGACACAAGGCAGGTGCCTTTGTTGTGCTATTATTGGTGCCTGCTGAAAGCATTAGTGGGCTGTTAGTACTGTGAGCCCCTCCACCTGTGAGCTCAGATTGCATATATGTGTAAATAAAACCATATATCCTAAAGACACAGCAAATCTCCTCTGGATAAGTGCCTGGAACCCATGGAATCTCTCACCACTTGGAGATTGGCAGGGATCCTGTAACTATACCAGTACCATTGATTTCTGCCTCCACCTTTGCAACCCTCCACCCCGGCTCTACTAAGCTTGCCCTTATCTTTGAGGGCAGGGAGACCATGGCCTCTCATTTAGGCTAGCATCCCCCATGAACAGAGCAAGGCATAATTAAATTCCCCTTTGTCCCGCAGATCAGTATTTGTGCCAACAGAGGGATAAATCTATCCCCTTCTCTGCCACCAACACCAAGAATGTTGGCCTGGTTCCACTCTAAAATTTACTGCAAGGATGTCCTTTTCTTTATTTTACTCATTATTTTGGCTGCAACCTCATAGTATGTCTCTGGCTACAAATTCAAACATGTCTTGTGGTGTTTGATGACCAGCGTAAAATATATGGGAACCTTTCTGCCGCGTTTGATTACGCACAATTTCTGTCTGGATAATTGTTGAGGAGCGAGCCAGGAAAGATGCTCTCTAATTAATTAGAAAGGTGCATCCTGCCATCCTGAGGACTAGAATCTAAATTCCCCACTTATCCTTCTTTATACATTCTGGCTGCAAATTGACCTTTGCATTTGGTGTACATGCAAGCTCATGTTGGGATAATATTTGCTGGTCATGAAGCTGATGTAACAATTGTGTGCAGGGTGAGGGACCCACATTTCCATATCCTGTCTTTCTAGGGATTCAGAGGACATCCCCTGTGTTGTAGTTCAATGGGTGCCTCATGCCATGAATTACTTTGGCTAAATGCAAGAAACCCTATTAATGATACCTGACAAGATCCAGTGGGCATTTCTCCTACAAAACCTCCTTTTTGTTTATCTCAATGAGAATCGCAATTATGAGATTGAATTAAGCTGCCATCCTGTGCACAGTTTCCTTCAGAGTAAGCACCATTGAACAAAGTGGGGCTTACTTCCAAGTAAGCATGCATAGGAATAGCCTGCCTATTCTCATAGTATTTTAGCACCAAACTGTCTCCTGTAATCTACCTCACTAAATCCCATTTTATCAGGTGTGACAATGAATTTTTTAAAAATGGCAAAGTCTTTGGGGAATATGAAATCCATGATGCTTTACAATTCAGAATGAATGCATGAGTGCTAATGCAGGTAGGGGTGTGTGTGTGTGTGTGTACATACAAATACGCTCTCACGCACAAAGATGCATTGTGCTTATGAGAAAACAACACTTGTGGACAAAATTGCCTGAGATCTTTAAAGATCTTTAAGACAAGGGAGCAACTGAATGTCTGTGCAAATGTGGGGGGGGGGCAGAAATCAAGGTAGGGTTTTGCTGGGAAATTCCATTTAGAAAGCATACAAGGCCTGTTGCACGTTTTGTGATCCACCACAAATAGTACTAGTTGAGTGTTAAGGTCCCAAGACCTCCCTCAATAAATAAAGACACAATTGACATGGAATTTAGTTTAAGGTTACTGGCATAATTTTGGCCACAACTTTATTGATTACAGATTGTGAGTGGTTCCTGACTAGCTGCACCTGACCTCCGCAGGGCAGCACTGACGCCTGAACTCCGGCAGACGTCAGTAAGGGAAAACATCCTCGGGGAGCATTGGACCAGGTTCAGACTCAAGCTCACCCCAAATGCTCCCAGGGGTTCTGGCATGGCCCTAACCCCTAGAAGGGGATCAGACAAAAGCAAGGCGAGCCCCTGGATTCCTTTAACGGAATATCCTTTCACGCATTGGAGGGGCATGTGTGACAACCTCCCCTCGACCACACCTTGCATCAATGCCTAACCGCAAAACCTCACATAGTTGTGACAATCTGCTATGCAGCAGGCGAAACCCAAATGGCAACAGCCAATCAGCCAAATGGGAAAATTCCTACCAGGCCCGTGTCCCCCCAAAAAAGACGACCCACGACGGAAAAGCAAAGTCATAATGAACCCTAAATATAGGGAAGGGTGGGTGATCCGGTGCATGAGTCGAAAAAGAGGAAGCTCAACTCAATGTGCAGCGGTATATAAAGGTCCCTCGGTTAATGCATGAAAGCTATCCCATTGGCCAGATTTATCCTAGCAACCGAGGGACCACCAATTGGGTTGTTGTGGCTATCCAATCACTCCCACCCACAACAGCAGTGAGGTCAGTCTTGATCTCACCACAACACGCTCTCCCTGGGAGGAGGACACGATTAATAAAAATGAAATCCTGATTGCTGGTCCAGTGTGGCAGTCTGGCACCTCCTCTACTTCATCAGCTGAAGACTTGTGAGGCGACTGTAACCAACATGCTAACTGCAGTATGGGAAACCTTTAATGCCTAGTGGGCATTTTATTAGGTATGGAGTAAAAAAATAATTTCAGCGAGGATTTTAATGCAAACCTACCTCATTTGCCCTTTCTGAAGCAATATTCAAATGGAAGCACGGCCATCCTTCAAAATCTGAACTTCTCCAAATTTTGTGATGCAGTTCCCCCAACCAAATAACGTATACAAACATCTGTATATTAGGTGGAAAGTTGAGAGCTTCGCCCACCCCTACCATTTATTTCTTCTCAAACTGGCTATTAACTTTCTGGGTAACAAAGAGCCTGTTGATTTGGCTTCCAGTTATGCCCTTAGCACACCTGTCCCTTGCTTAAGCTACAGTCAGGAGCAGAACATCTCCTCTTCCTACTCCACACCCCAGTTTGAAAAGAAAGTCCAGAGAAGGAGCAACATGTGTAGAAATGGGAAGCTTTTAAAAATCCTATTAAACGAGCAGATGTCTTAATGGCAGAAGCACCAGGCTGAGAAAGTCCTGGAGCATCTTTTCCTTCCATCTCTCTCCTCTAACTAGGGATGCTACCAACGTGCCATCTTTCCTTCTTAAGAGTTTCATTCCAACCCCATCTGCTGCTCCCCATTTCTTCTTCTCGTTCCAGGATATACGGATGCATTCAAAGAAACCTTCGCTGATGGCAAGGCTCTTGCCTTGTGGGGGAATGCCGAAACCAAGGACTGTGGCATTGCAACCAAGCAACGCTGGATCGAGCAGGGGAAGGAGGAAAGGAAGCCAGGGGCAAAGGTTGGCTCTTTCTTTGTGATGGAGAGACGTCAAGCCACAATCAGGCTGAGCGGCCACAGAGCAAAATTTGCCTAAACTACAAAGCAAATTCCTCCTTCATGGAAAAAGTGTTTCGATAAAGGGACCCTCCCAGTGATCTGTTTATTGAGCAATCATCCTTATTTGCTTACATAAAACTTATGTGTAGGTTAGTTTATATCCAGTCTTTGCTTGCAGGGTATTTAAACAGCTTCCTGTTAATCATTTGTTCATTCCATACTTTGCAATGCATTTCCCCATTCCATTGTAAATCACACTTTAACTGCACAAACCTAAATTTCCTGTGATGTGTTCAGATCCCTCCAATGAAACAGTGACAGTATGGAGGCACCCTATGACTAGTGCTCATACCCCCCCCCCCAGAGTGTCAAATTGTTGCGTGATTTTGCCGAGGCAGAAATTCAAAGCCGTTTTGAATGTTCCTCCTTAGGTAGAAACATCTTAGGAATGTTGAAGGCAATTGAAAGGCTTGAGATACAAAAAAAATATCTAGGAGGAGGTCAGCTCATAGACCCCTAGGAAACACCCTAGGGAAGACCCCTATAAGGAACTAGCTCAGTTAGCCAATGGATTGCATTGTAATTCTTTGCAGATTAGCCCAACTGAAGTCATTTGGGTCCTAAACTGGCATGGATTAGGTTTGGGCTTCAGCTGCACTGAATTCTTTGGTAGCCTAGACTTCATTGCCCTGGAGATCTCTCCCAAATCTCTCTCTTTCACTGAACAGAAGGTCCTCCTGTTTAATTCCCAACTTGACATTTTCCTACTTTCCCCCCTAAAGATTCTAAGAGTTCTTAGTTGCTAATATAAAGCTAAAAACAGAATCTAAGAACCTTACAGGCTTGCCAATAATCTTCTCAATATGTCCCCTACATTAGCAAACGGCAATAGATTGACTGCAGCAGGACTTGGATTCGCTTAACATAAGCTCCAAAGCTATAAAAGAATGAATACACCAATAAAAGAAATGGATTTTTGTTGGGTTTAATTTTGTTTCCTGTGCTATGAGTATTTATTCCCTGCAACTGAGGCTCAGAGGGCACTTTCCTTTCCTTTCCTTTCCTTTCCTTTCCTTTCTTTTTTTAAAAAAGCAAACCCACAACTTTAATTTCTCTGTATAAGGGATGCAACAATGCTTTTAAAATGGGATAAGTTTTCCCCCATTTTTTGGTAGTCTGCTGTCCTTTAACAGAACACAAACAGAAATTGGGTTTTCTCTAGTATGACACCCAAGTTATGGAACTTTAGAGAGGATGTTTTTCCTTCTCTTTTAAATGTTAGGGAGCTGCTGTTTCCTTTTTGTTTAGCCAGACTTTTTAGCGTGGGCTACAGTTCTGTCTCCCTGTTTTTATACTAAATAAAAACTCTTGGCTTGAATGTACTGAAATTAATGTTAGTAATATGAACCATTTTAATTGTGTACTATGTACTGGTACTTTAATTTTTGGAAAATGTTTTGAGTTTATTATAAAATAAAGACAAAGGAGTATATTTCCCCCACACCAACAAAATCTGTCCCAAATAAAATGAGCTCCCTTAAACTGGCTTTTCCTTAAATCCACCTGCCAGATTTCCTTTAGTTACTGACTCCTTCTCTTCTTCTCCTTCCAGCGAACAAGTCCTCAGGAATCTCTCTCCCTGCCACCAAAACACAGGAGCCTGCAAAAGTGCCTCCTAAGAACCTAAGAGCCTGCTGGATCAGGCCAATAGCCCATCTAATCCTGCATCCTGTCCTCTCAGTGGCCAACCAGATGCCTGTGGAAAACCCACAAGCAGGATCTGAGCACAAGAGCCCTTTCTGCCATGAATTTCTTCAGTCCTCTTCTAAAACCCTCTAGGCTGGTGGTGCTCACTGCCTCCTGTGGCAGCGAGTGCCATAGTTTAATTCTGTGCTGCATGAAGAAGTCCTTTCTTTGATGTACCTGGCATCTTCCAACATTCAGTTTCATTGGATGCTCAGAAATTCTAGTGTTATGAGAGATGGAGAAAAACTACTCTCTTTCTCCATGCCATGCATCATTTCGTAAAATTCTACCATGTCGCCTCTAGGAACCATTGATGAGCACCCTTTGGGTTCGGTCAGTCAGCCAGTTACAAATCCACTGAGTGGTAGCATAGTCAAGACCACATTTTACCAGCTTCTTTACAAGAATATCATGAGGCACCTTGTCAAATGCCTTGCTGAAATCAAGGTAGGCTACATCCACTGCGTTCCCTTCATCTACCAGGCTTGTAATTCTGTCAAAAAACGAGATCAGGTTAGTCTGACATGACTTATTTTTCAGAAATCCATGCTGACTATTGGTGATCACAGCATTCCTTTCTAGGTGCTCACAGACTGTTTGCTTAATGATCTGCTCCAGAATCTTCCCTGGTATTGATGTCAGACTGACTGGGCGGTAATTATTTGGGTCCTCTCTTTTCCCCTTTTTGAAAATAGGGACAACATTTGCCCTCCTCCAGTCTGCCGGGACTTCACCTGTTCTCCAGGAATTCTCAAAGATGACTGCCAGTGGTTCTGAGATCACATCTGCCAGTTCTTTTAATACTCTTGGATGCAGTTCATCTGGCCCTGGAGACTTGAATACATCTAAACTAGCCAAGTATTCTTGTACCATCTCCTTAGTTATTCTGGGCTGTGTTTCCTTTGCTGAATCATTTGCTCCAAATTCTTCAGGTCGGGCATTGTTTTCTTTATCGGAGAAGATTGAGGCAAAGAAGGCATTGAGGAGTTCAGCTCTTTCTGTGTCCCCTGTTTGCATTTCACCATCTTCTCCTCTGAGTGACCCCACTGTTTCTTTGTTCTTCCTTTTGCTACGGACATACCCATAAAAGCCTTTTTTGTTGCTTTTAACCTCTCTAGCAAGCCTGAGTTCATTCTGTGCTTTAGCTTTTCTGACTTTGTGTCTACACGTGCTGGCTATTTGTTTGAATTCCTCTTTGGTGGTTTCCCCTTTTCCATTTTTGTACACATCCTTTTTAATCTTAACTCAGTTAAAAGTTCTTTAGATAGCCACCCTGGCTTCTTTAGGCACCTTCCATGTTTCCGTCTCATTGGTATTGCCTGACGTTGTGCTTTTACTATCTCCCTCTTAACAAACTCCCAGCCATCATGAACTCCCTTTCCTTTTAGTATTACTGTCCATGGGATCTCACCCAGCACTTCCCTAAGTTTTATGAAGTCAGCTTTCTTAAAGTCAAGAAATTGAGTCCTAGTATGCTTGGCTGCTCCTTTCCGCTGTATAGTAAACTTCAGAAGAGCATGATCACTCGCGCCTAATGATCCTTCCACTTCTACCCCACTAACCAGGTCATCAACATTGGTTAGGACCAGATCTAAAATGGCTGTTCCTCTTGTTGCTTCTCCCACTTTCTGGACAATGAAGTTGTCTGCAAGGCCAGTGAGAAATCTGTTTGACCTTATGCTCTTGGCTGAGTTTGACATCCAACAAATATCCGGGTAATTGAAGTCCCCCATTACTACTATCTCCCCTCCTTTTGCATGCTTGGCCATCTGTTCCAGGAAGGCATCATCTATGTCCTCCGTTTGGCTTGGGGATCTATAGTAAACTCCCACAATGAGGTCACTGTTATTCTTCTCTCCCTTAATTTTGACCCAAATGCTCTCACTTTGGCTTTGAGGTTCTAAATCTTGGATCTCTTCACAGGTATACACATCCCTGACATATAACGCCACTCCTCCTCCTTTCTTGTACTTGCTTTTTCTCTAAACTAAAAAATAAATCTGTAACTTTGCAGCACTTATGGAATGGAGATGTGCAAAGCAAACAAACACAACAACAACCACCACCCCACACTACTCCAAATATCACTCTCATTATCTATAAACCCAGACTGAACTACAAACAGTGGTACCTCGGGTTAAGAACTTAATTCATTCTGGAAGTCCGTTCTTAACCTGAAAATGTTCTTAACCTGAAGCACCACTTTAGCCAATGGGGCCTCCCACTGCCGCTGTGCTGCTGCCGTGCGATTTCTGTTCTCATCCTGAGGTAAAGTTCTTAACCCAAGGTACTACTTCTGGGTTATCAGAGTCTGTAACCTGAAGCGTATGTACCCTGAGGTACCACTGTATTAGAACATGTTTTTTTGTGTGAAGGCTTTAATGTGTTTAGACGTAACCGCATCCTGAAAAATCTTTAAGAGAAGGTTGAAAGGGACAGGAGGGTCAAACTGAACTTCCTGTAGACAATCCCCACCCACAAGTGAATCCATTGTCAGGGAACAACTAGGATTCCACCCCTCCTCCCACATCCGCTGAGTACATTCTAGGTAGTGCAAATGTATTCAGTTATGCAAAAGGAAGGGGGAAAAAACTCACATCCCCAACAGCCAGGAGGCCATATGATACATATCATCTTGTGATTGTGTTGTAGGGACTTTCTTTTTTAATTGGCAAACATTTCTCAAGCAACAGCTCAGATTGACTTAGAATCACATATGTGCTTAAGAACACACTTCTCCAGTCTTCCCCTCCCCTGCTTCAAGGATGATGCCGGCCGCTGAGATCCTCCCCACCGCCCGCCTTCTGTGAAACAGAAGCAAGCAATAAGCAACCCTATTCATGAAGGGGAACCTTGAAATCGGTCAGAACTTTCAGATTGCCACACAAGGGGTTATAAATTACTCAGCACTGATTCCAGTCATACCAGATTTGCAAAAGAAAAGGGGGGGGGACCACTCTGGGGAGAATTTCGAGGAGGCAAAATCTCTTAATGCTTTTCACTGGCCTGGACGTTCCTCCAAATCCAGGTGTGTTGCTGCATTCCGCTGCTTCCTGCCCTGATCCCCTTTGGAATACAATAATTATGAAGTGTGAATGGAAACCATAAGCTTTCCTATTTATTTATTTATTTATTTGTTTGTTGTTGTTGTTTTTTAAAAAAAACCTAGCCATTTTGGCTTTGTTTTCTGTCTTCCCTCCTGAAACAAATAGTGTATATTCTCTACCTGCCTGCAGTAAGTAGTCATTTTGCAAATACTAAAAACATCAGTGCACAAACAAGTAAATTGTA